GCCTAGGTTAACAAAGTGTATGAAATCCAGTCTGTGGCTTTAATGCAGTGCAGTGATAACATTTCCTCTCTCCCATCCTGTACCCAGCCGCTCCGCTGATGGTTATTAATTGTGAAGATGAGTGGACATCATCTCTCCGCTTCCTCATTTGGCACCCATCCTTACAGACATCATTGCTAAATTACCAGATTATGTATCTCGCGTTAACGGATTTGCTCTCTTCCAAATTTTAAATAACTTTCCCGTCGAGTTCTCGCCATGGGGAGCGGGGGGCAGAGGGAGAGTGAGGGATGCCAAGGGCATCCTGGTCAGCGCTGCAGTCCTGGGTACGCTCAGCTCCGCTGCTCCACGCGAGGCTGACCGAAAACTGGAGGTCAGGAAACCGCAGCCACTGGCAAATTTGGAGTTGCTGCGGGCTTATGCAACCGTGTAAATATATATACACACATACACACACACACGATTACATATCTAAAGAGATGCATGCAAATAAGCCACCGTTCTCAGAAATAAACAATCATTAACATGGAAGCGAAACTGAGCAATCACAGGAAAACACGGATTTCCAGGGAACAAAAAAAATAATAAAGCAACCACCTCTGCCTGCTTTTCTATTTTTACTTGTGCTATCACCCCATTACGTTAAATGTATTTCATAAATTAGTAATCTGGCCGCAACACTTGACACTCCTGTAGGATACTGTGAATCACTACGGCCGTTTATTCGTTTGCAAACTTCATTACACTGGGAATAAATCAACGCATTACAATATCTGGGCCAGCCAAATTTAATTTTTTTTCAGCTCCCACTTCCTTTTTCGTTCTCTCTTTCTCCCTTCTCGCCCAGCACCTCCCCACCCCCAGCAACAGGGACAGATTAGACTGCGGCGGACCAGTCATTATGAAAATCTATCGTTAATACACTCCCAATGTCAAAATGTCATAGGTTTAAATACAGAACCCAAAAATAAGAAAACTAACTGACCTTCTTAATTAAAAAAATATGGATTGCAGGGTAATCAGCTGGAGGTTACGTTTGGGTGCCGGGAAGGCAGTAGGCACAGGCAGAGTGAGGAACTGCTACTTTTCTGCCTCTATGCTGATTTTTTTTAATTTAGCACCTCGCGCAAATCCAGATTAAAATAACTCCAGCTATTGATCCGAGCAGTGGAATTGACATTAATTTTAGTTCACTTCTCACTTTGCAAAGGGATCAATAGGAAGTAATAACAGCTGACATCCCCGCTGAAAGGAGGAGAAAAGACGGGCTAGAGACAGAAATCGAAAAGCAACCAAATAAATCAGCAGCTACTTTTCCACGGCATCAGACAAACTCCAAACAGATTGCAAAGTCTTTGTTGAATTAACTAAACAAGGAGTAGAGGAGGGGGTGGGGGGGTGGAGATCAATCTAGGAAGCTACATAAACTGTCTACCAAGTATGAAGGTTAGATGGACAGACTGAAAACAAACTCTAATTTTGATTTTTTTTTTTTTTTTCATGGCTACCTATATGCATAGTTATCAGTTTTCAGAGCTACCCTGTGGAAGGTGTATACAAATTACCTGTGTAATCGTGTACATTACTAATAACAAGGCTAAACACGCCACAACCAAGACAAATTGAATCAACAGCCTTTAGCCCTGAACCATAAAAAAAAAAAAATCTCTCACCAAGGAACAAGTTGTAATCAGTTATCTCTGGCTCAGTTTTGGTTCCTCTGCTTACGAAGGCTGTAGCACCGTGCTGAATTAGTTAAGAGAAAAGTCTGATAAAAGTAGGAGAAGCCATGACAGAGCTGGGTTTAGCAGGCATCGCAAACACCCAGCAAGCGGAGAAAACAGCAGTGACCACCGGTTATAAGCGTAAAACCCACTTGCTAATCAGCCTGCAGAGAAACACGCACATATGCGAGCACATGCACACCCCGTACGCAGCCGCCAGATCTGCAAATCTTTTACTAAAACGTTACTCCGAGTTCCTATTACCAAATCACCTCTCTGCTATCGATTAGAAGAAATAAAACACACCACGCTGGTTTCTACAACAGGTTGCATTTTTGTGGTCTCTCAACCATTTCCAAATGCCAGAGATTAAAATAATGGGGCAAATTAACATTTTTCTCCCTCCAGAAACAAAGTTTTCTGAGGGAAAAAATTAATTAACAAGCTACAGGGGGAAAAAAAAAAGATTAAAACAATAGGAAATCCAGGAAAATTGATGATGCATGTAAATTAGGAAAGACCCAGAAAAAAATCACAATATCCATTTACATTAAAAAGTTTTTTCCCCATAAATGTCAAGTAGGAATTTAGAAATATGCTCTGCGCAGAAAAGCCAAAGATTATAAAACAAAATAATGCCAGCTGTTTGGGGATTTAAGTGCTCAAATGGATTATATATTTGAACCAAACTGGATTTCCTTATAATAAATGAAACAAATGCAAGCTCGAAAGCCAACAAAGGAGAGCTCTCATCACTGGATTAAGATACAAAGGAAAAACAGTTAATTTTGGTTGGGTTTTTTGTTGGTTTTTTTTTTTTCCAACGCGTGAAATATGCCACCTGCAGCCGCACACCCAGGCAGCCGCTGTGAAAACCGGCTTAAGGGGGGAAAAAAAAATAAAATTAAAAAAATAATAATAATAGCGAAGGGGGGAGCGGAGGAACCGGCGGCGGGGACGGCCGAAGCGGCCAGCCCCGGTCC